GGTGTAGCCATTCTAATATCTAACATAAGAGATTTCCAACCAAAAATAATCAAAAGAGATGGAGAAGGACACTTCATACTCATCAAGGGAAAAATTCACCAAGAAGATGTTTGTTTATTTGTTTATTTATTTATTTTTATTGAAAAAATTTCTGCCTCCTCCCTGTCTCCCATTTCCCTCCCCCTCCATGGGATAACACTGGACTCTGTGAACATGGTAGACAATGAGGGCTGATGAGAAGCCAAGGACAATGGCACTGGGTTTTGATCCTACTTTATGTACTGGCCTTGTGGGAGCCTAGCCTGTTTGGATGCTCACCTTCCAAGATGATGTTTTAATTCTTTACATCTATGTCCCAAAAGTAAGCGTACCCACATTTATAAAAGAAACATTACTAAAGCATAAATTACACTTAGAACCCCACACATTAATAGTGGGAAATTCATCACCCTAAACTCACCAATGGAGAGGACCTCCAGGTGAAAACTAAACAGAGAAATAATGAAAATAACAGACATTATGAATCAAATGGACCTAACAGATATCTACAAGATATCTCAAGCCCAAAAGAATTTACCTGCTTTTCAGTACCTCACAGAATTTTCTCCAAAAATTGATCACATGCTTGTTCACAAACTAAGTCTTGAGAGATACAAGAAAATTGAAATAACCCCGGTATCCTGTCAGACCACCGTGATTGCAGTTGAATTTCAACAACAGAAACAACAGAAAGCCCACAAATTTATGGATTCTGAACAACTCTCTACTGAATGACCACTGCTTCACAGAAGAAATAAGAAAGTAAAGAGTTTCTAGAATTCAATGAAAATGAATGCACAACATATTCACACTTATGGGATACAATGAAAGTGGTACAAAGAGGAAAGTTCATAGCATTAAGTGCCCACATTAAAAAGTTAGTGAGATCTCACAATAGCAACTTAATAGTATCTCTAAAAGCTCTAGAACAAAAAGAAGCAAACACAGCCAAGAGGCAGGAAATAATCAACCTCAGAGCTGAAATCAATAAAAGAGAAACAAAGAGAACAGTACAAGAAAGTAAGGAAACAAAGAGTTGCTTCTCTGAGAAAAACCAACAGATACACAAACCCTTATTCAAACTAACAAAAAGACACAGAGAAAATATCCTAACTAACAAAATCAGCAATAAGAAGGGGGACACAAAAACAAACAAATCCAAAGCAAACCCAGACAATTATTAGGTCATACTTCAAAAGCCTATATTCCACAAAATCAGAAAATGTAAAATAAATGGGCAATTTTCTTGATAGCTACCACTTACTAAAGTTAAATCAAGATCAGCTAAACAATTTAAATAGACCGATAACGCACAACATGTAGAAGCAGTCCTAAAAAGTCTTCCTTCCAAAATAGCGCAGGGCCAGATGTGTTTAGCACATAACTCTACCAGACTTTCAAAGAAGACCTAAAACCAATACTTCTAAAATTATTTCACAAAATAGAAACAGAAGAAACATTGTCAAATTAATTTTATGAGGTCAAGTCACCCTTATACTCAAACTACACAAAGACACCACAAAGAAAGATAATTACAGACCAGTTTGCCTTGTGAACATTGATGCAAAAATACTCAATAACATACTCTCAGCCTGAATCTAAGAACACATCGAAAAGATCATCCACTATGATCAAGCAGGCTTCATCTTAGATTGATACAGGTACTTAAGAGTCTCTGCTATAGAAGCATATTTGTATTCTGTTTGGTCGGATTCTGTAGTGCCCAGTGCTAATGGTTTCTTTGTTCTGAGTTAACCTGTCATCTAGGAAGCTTGAGAGGAAATCGTGACTGGTCCTGGTGCTTGGGAGTCCTTCTCCTTTTGCACAGAGATGATGAAGATGGGCAGTAGAATTGCCCCTGCTACAGACAGAAGAGAGCAAAGAGAAAAAAACCAAACAATGTCAATCTCAGTGACAAGACTGAGCACCTGACCTGAAGGAAGAGACTAAATTTTAAAATGATTGATTTCCTGTTTCCATTCGCTACATCATCGGGCTAAGGAAGGAATGGAAAAAAGATTTTTAATATGTATGTAGACGTAAGTCACAAAACAATCCCACACCAGTTTGGAATTATGATTAACAAAAGGGTTTTTTATTTAAGGGGAAAACTTACAGATCACTGTCCTGGACAACAGCCCTCTGTGCGAACAGGAACAGAGTCTAGTAGCCAGAAGTGGAGCAGGGAGAGGGAGAGGGTGGTGAGAGAGAGAGAGAGAGAGAGAGAGAGAGAGAGAGACAGAGACAGAGACAGAGAGAGACAGAGAGCAGGGCTACTGCTGCTTTTTAAAGCAAAAGAGACCACACCCAAGTGGGCTGGTATCTTAAAGGCTATTATTGGTTGAAGGAGCAGAAGGAGCTCCTGCAGCATATGTGAATCTGTTGTCTTCTCTGATTGCTGGTTCAATGAGTGAAAACATGGATTAATTGCTTAACTCTTGGGTGTTGCCTATGTTCCAGATAGCTGGGACTTAGTTACAGATGAAGATATTGAAACCAAATTAGTTAATCTTCTATGATAGCTGATAGTTGGTTTCTACATTCGATTCCTTGAGGTAGGAAGAACCACCCTGAATGCGATGAAACCATTCCATGGACTGGACCCCAAACTGACTAAAGAGGGGGAAAGTAAGCTGAGCATCAACTGTCTGCCTCCTGCCTGTAGATTCCATGTGACCAGAGACCTGTATTTCTGCTGGCACGCATTCTTCACCATGATGGACTGTACCATAGAACCATGAGTTGAAATAACACCTTCCTTCCTTAAGATGCTCTTATCATATACTATTGCTGTTTTTTTTCTTTCTGCTCTTTGCTTTTTGGGGGGTCTGCCACCCAGCTCCCAAATAAATCACAGAGACCTGCTCTTACTTACAAACACCTCGCCTTAGCTTGTCTTCTTTCTCGCCAGCTTTTCTTAACTTAAAGTATTCTATCCTTTGCCTCTGGACTTTATCTTTCTCTATTTCTCTATACCTTTCTTTGCTTCTTTCCCCATGGCTTGCTGTATAACTGGCTGGCTGGCTTCTGATGTCCTCCTCTCCTTGTTCTCTCTTGCTTCTTCTCCCAAATTTCTCCTTCTATTCTTTCTGCCTGCCACCCCTGACTATCCTTTCTCCTGCCTCACTATTGGCCATTCAGCTCCGACCTAGACCAACATGTGTTTTAAAAAGGCAAAGTAACACAGCTTCACACAGTTAAACAAATACAACACGGAAGAATGCAGTACATCTTTGCATCATTAAAACAAATGTAACACATTTTGGAAAATAGTATTCTACAACAATATACTATGTCACAGCAATGAGAAAAATAATTTATACAAATTTAAAAAGTCTTCTATAATTTTCTCTCAAACTTTTTTTTTCATATTAAAGCCTTCCCAGAATACTAATGTTTACACATGCTTACCTACTCTTAATCACATACTATGCTGTGCTCTACTGCTTAGGAGGAACTATTACATAACAAGGTTGATAGGAAGATATTCGACAGAGCTGTGCTACATAGCTTAGGAGGAACTATTACCTTACAATGGTTACAGGAAGATGTTAGCCAGATCCTAGAGGTGGAAACCAGGGGGTATTTATGACTAAAGATGATGCACTTTGCTTTGCAAGTTAAGTAACACTACAATACCTACAGCAGTTGACAATATTAACAGTACCGTGTTGCATACCTTCAACTTTGCTACAAAATTATGTCCTTGCTACATTGAGTTGTCAACTTGATACAGCCTAAGTCATCTAGGGGAAGGCACAATTAAGGAACTGACTAGAACACTTTGGCCTATGGGCTTGTCTGTGTCATACTATCTTGATTGTTAATTGATGTAAGAGGGTCCAGCCTACTGGGGGTAACACCATTCCCTAGGAAGATGGGTCTAGCTTGTATAAGAAATCTAGCTAAATGGTCCTCAGTTTGCTGTTTAGAAAATACTCCCATGTGCCTGCTATTTAAATAGTTGGTCCCCAGTTAGTGGCATTGTTTGGGGGAATGTTATGGAATCTTTTGGAGATGTGGTCCTGATGGAGGTGACCTGTGAGCTGGCTTTGAGATTTCTTAGTCTTCCTGCTCGCTGGGCAGGTAGCTCTCCTTTGTACTTGTGGTTGTCCATGTGAGCTCTCAGGCCTACTGCTTCCAAACCTCCTGGTCACTTAGGGACTCCCTCCCGACCCCAGCAATCCATCAAATAAACCTTTTCCCTAGTGTGCTGCTCTTGGTAGGTGTTTTCTCACACCAACAGAAATCACCTTGTTTGTTGTTCAGAAAGCTTTCATCAAGGACAAAGAAACGTAAATTCAAGGTAACCTGTGACTCAGTTGAACTACCCTTAGGTTCTCTTCCCTCCCTAACCCACTCCCACTATAGGGCAATCTGATAACAAGAGAGAAAGTGCCTTCAGATGCACTTTTTGTGGAAGTGAGCTCTGAGCCCTGCTGAACTCTAAACCTCTAGATAAGGTGTCACACCTGGTAACACACACACACACACACACACACACACACAGGCCTTTAATACACAAAACTGTAAAATGAAACTGTCCCCTTCTCCAGAGTGTTTGTATGAATTCCCTCATCACTCCAGGCCATTGCTTTCCTTTTTTGCTGGCCAGGACCACCTTCCAGCTGTATGATGGACTGTAATCTGGCGCCCTCTGCTGCAGCAGAGAGGAATGATGAGCAGACGCACGGAGACAAAACATTCATTCGCGTAGGAAAAAAAGATAAATAAATCTAAAACGAGCAAATAAACAAAATCTATAGAATGATTCTTTTACGTTTGCTCAGTCACAATAACAGACGAGGGCTAAACCTGGGTCCCTGGCAGGGGTGGGGACAAGGGGTGGGAGGGAGGGCAAGATCTGGGTCCCTGGCAGGGGTGGGGACAAGGGGTGGGGACAAGGGGTGGGAGGGACGGCGCGTCCACGTTGTGTAGAGGCAAAGCAAAGGGGGTTTTACGTTGAATTGCTGAATACCACTGCTGACAGGTGTTACTAAGATACTCTCCACAGTGGAGGAGCTCAGACCCCAAGAAGTTGGTGTCTAGCTGAGGCCCAGAGCAATGACGGGCAGTCTGGTGAGTGGAGTCTGGGATCAAAAGAGGGCAGAATGAGTTATTCAGAGCCTGTGGCTCTCCGGAGCCCGCCTAGTCAGCCAGCGAGGGAGGCACGGGAATCTGTTCCTTGGAGAAAGGATCTCCTGGACTTGGGACTGCCTAAGTGAACATGGGTCAGGAGAAACCCCAAGATCGCGGGTCCCACGGGATGGGCGGCTTTGCTCCTGGCTGCAGATCCCACTGCGAGGAAAACATGGCTAGTGCGCAATGGCTCCCAGAAGGGGAAGGGTAGTGCTGGGGAACCCCTGTGTTGGTTCTTAATCTGCATCAGGGCACAGCCCAGTGATATTGCTGCTTGCTGCATTCTTGGCCCTTGCCTGGGAAGCCATGAAGCATCATCCAATAGTGCTGCAGCAACCTTCAGAAAGGATGTCAGCTCCGTGGTCGTGCTATATTTAGAGGGGGGCGCCATTTTGAGTCTTCAGTACTGCTTACAAGATAAAAATTTTTAAAAGGATGGGTGGTGATACGCTCAATTCTTTATACACACGAAACTGGTTGAATTGGGTGGAAATCTAAATGCAGTTAAAACCCAAGGTACTGTTTTCATAGGATTGGCAAGACCACAGGCCAGATTTTGCTTTACCTTTCTTAACAAAGAAGAATGGTGGTGTGTGAGCTGGTGTCTCCTGCCCAGCAGATGCTCTTAATCTTTGAACAAGGAATTGCTTTTCTGTTTCACAAATAAACGTGCAGGTAGGGGAGGCTTATTTTTCCCAAGACCTTGTGGCTGCAATGAAGATACCAATTCAGACCCAGGCTGTAATGAACCTCCACCTTCTTGGTGAGAATTACAGAAGGATTTCTTTGTCTACATAATTGGGTTCTCTTGTCAATTCTTGATTGGTCCATCTTTTAGCATCTGCTAAATTCTGGACACTGAACAGGTGTTTTAATCATGGAATTGTTACCTTACCCCCATGATATGACTGCTGTTTTTGCAGCAGACAGGATCCCCGGATTTTTATCATCAGAATGCTATTGTAGATTTTAGAACATTTGCATATGCACAATGAGATCTCTTGGAAGTGGGGCCCAAGACTAAGCAGGAAATTCATTCCTCTTTCTTGTAGATATCTTCTGTGCAGACCCTCAGATAATGGCATGATTAGTTCCTTTCAGTGACTATGACCATCACACGATGGCAAGTGTGGAGTTTTCTATAGTAATATCCTGTCAATACTCAGAAGTTTCAGATATTGAAACATTAGGATTTTTCAGTTTGTTACCTATGCTTCATTTAACCCTGAGAGTGTACTGTCATCTTCCTCCAGGCTCCAGGGAGGTTAAATAAAGTATCTTACCTAATGCATCTGCCATCCACTTTTGGCCTGGGTCTGCCCTGGATAACACCCAGCAATTCTCTCCACTTCCTGGGAAACAGGCGGTCATTATCCTGCTTGAACCAGTAGAGAATATAAATAAAAACTACATGAATTTTTAACAGTGAAGCCTCACGCTTGGCTGCCTGCTGCCCAGTCTCTGTGGGTTTTTGGTTTTGTTTTGTTTTTCACCATCCCGAGGCCCCACTTCTCAGTCTTATATGTGCATTTGTTTTTTTCTTTTCATTCTAAAACACAGTTTATTTCCATTACAGAAGCCAGATAATAATTTTCTTATTACAGCCTTTCCTAGGGCTTTGGTTTCATTTTGAGAGAAAGGCAAAATATCTAAACAATAACAACAACAACAAAATATACAGAACCAACGTACCATAGTCTATGCCTGTGATTTCCTTAAGATAAAGTAAAATGTATTGAAGATAAATACTTAAAAATAAAGTAAAATGAATTGACCGCTGGCAGCAGAGCCAGAGGATACATTGCTGGATTTTTCTAGCTCTTGAGTAGCATAAGGAAGGACAGAGAACAGTCTCAGCAATATAAAGAAAAAATTGCAGAAGTGCCTAGGGCACGTCAGAGTTAAAGCCCCTTCGAAGGTGCTGTCTATGAGCATGAAAGGGGGGTGGCAGAACAGGTACTGTGGAGACTGTATCCTTTTAAGAAGTTTGCTCTTTTGATTAAACCTGAATTTAATAATTTGGTTTGATTGGCTTATTAATTACATCAGTATGGCAGGCATCAAAACCAGGGATTCAAAACTTACATATATGATCTTGAAAACATGCTTAACATATCTCCAAATTTTATTGTTATCGATGACTAACTACTAACCTATGTTTCCTTATTATCCTAACTAGTTTATAATAATAGTGTTCAAAAATTGGCACTTTGATTTACATTTTTAAGTGAACTGCATAAGTACAATACCTTAAACAAGAGTAGAAACATATATACAAAAATAACTTTAAATTAATATTAATATACTATCTTCCACTAAATGATATCAGGTATCTATAACCCAACAAGTAACCAAAGACCCCTCACCCACCTCCAACAACTGGGCATGTGGGCATCATCTTCTCTAGACTGTGTCCTGCTGTCTGCAGGCAAAGGAATTTTTAGGGGTCCCTGAGAAAATTTGAGATAATAGCCAAGTACTGCAAGACTGTAACCTTTTTTGTTATATATCACTTGTCAGGTTTCATGTGGTCTCTCTTGTTCAAACCTGATCCATATTATTCCTGAAGGAATCCACAGCTTTTTGTCTCCTGTGAAAGAAAAAGCAAAAGCATTCTCCAAAACATTTTTAATCTCAACTTGAAAAATACATTTTTTTTACTTCTTTTTTAAAGTTAATTTAGCTCTAAAGTATCTAGGTAGGTTCAGTTCTCCAGTCTTGGTCACAAGCCCATATCTGTCAGCAGCTGTCTTTTACTTATTAGCAATCCAAAAATTCAGAATCAACACAATACTATATAGGATCCAGATTCCCCATGTATTTCCCATCTTTATGTGACTTTTTTTTCTTTTCTATTACTTTTACTCCCTCTTTAAAGATTTTTTTTTAAACTATTTCTTATTCTCTGTGATTGTCTGTAGCCTACACACATTGTAAAACACATTGGGACATGTTTAGAGTTTTCTTATTGCCATCGGGAATTCTTTTACTGCATATCTCTAGTTTTTTTGTCCGTGTGTGAACAAACTTTTAACTGCTAAGCCACAGTTGAGTCCTCCTCATGGCTCTAGTGGCTAACTCTGCTCCAAACACTGGTTGTGAAAGCCAAGCCTAAGGCTTTCAGCCTGGTCAGAGATGCATCACCAGGAACCACATTCAATCCCCTGAATTCTAGAATGCCAATGCATGCAGCAAATGTTATTTTACTTATTTTGTTGTTGTTGTTGTTGTTGCTATTTACCATGAAAAAGCTGCTTACCTGCTTTGCTGTACAGCAGAACTTCTTAAAGGAGCTGTATTTATTTATTTATTTTTTTTGCTCTTTTTACTCTTTTGGCTCTTTGAGTTAGGCCCACCAATCTACTTCCAAATAAATAACAGGGACAGAGACTTATTATTACTTATAAATGCCAGAGCTTAGTATGGCTTGTTTCTAGTCAGCCTTTCTTAATTATCCTATTTATATTTTGGCTTTGGGCTTTTATCTTTCTCTATTTCTGCATACCAGTTCTTCTTTCTCTGTGACTTTTTGTGTAGCTGGGTGGCAGGCCCCTAAAGTCTTCCTTCTTCTCTTTCTTCTTAAACTTCTCTTCCCGGATTTCTCCTTCTATTTATTCTCCCATGCTGTCACGGTGCCACATATCCTTTCTCCTGTCTACCTATTAGCCATTCACCTCTTTATTAGACCAACCAAATGTTTTAAACAGGCAAATTGACACAACTTTACAGAGTTAAACAAAAGCAACTTAAAGAATGCAATGCATCTTTGCAGAATTAAAAAAATATTCTACAGCATCAATGAAGTGTCACACCTTAAAATAATATTCTGAAGTAAATTAAAAGTAGGACAAACCACCCAGTGACTTGAGCTAAGACCGGGTACTAGAACAGGAAGCGAGAGCTTCGCATGGCAGAATTTATTGTGTGAAGTGACTAATGTCTGGTAGGGAGAAGAAGCTGACAGCCAGTGAGACTTTCTTGCTTGGGAAATAATGTCCAGAGCAAACGCTTTATGGGATGAAGTTATGATGAATTTCCTGTCACTCACAAATTTACTAACTTATCTATTCTATCTATTCTTTCAATTGGGAACACTTTAGGCAAAAGAAAGAGGTAATGGAACTAGGGTACAAGAGAGTTTGTTAATTTGAAGGGACTCAAAGGTTGGCATGAGAGCTTACTAAGCAAGCAATATGAGGTCTGAGAGCATGCGTGTGGGTGCTGAGATCTCAGTAGTAGGAAATGGGCTTTGAAGACTCCATAAGGCATCAGGTGGGAACTTACAGCCAATTTCACAATGCCTGTTAGATTGACTCTGGAAATTTCATTAAACATTATGATCTTGTCCTGACAAACCAGCAAGGGCTTGATAATCCTCACAATCATGGTTTTCAGACACACAGTACACAATAATGTTATAGTTGTGCCTATTTTTTTTTTTAAATCAGCAATGCTTTCAGCACAGGGTAGGCTGTGTGGTTGTGTGTCCCAGCCAGTGGGACACGAACAGAGGGTCCCTGATAAACCTGGAAGAGGAATGGAAGGGCAAGAGACATGAGAAATGACAGCTGTTGTTCTTAATTCTGTGGGTTAGACAGTAGAGATGTTATGCGAGGAAGAAGACACAGATACGCGGCGGTCCATCTTGGGTGCACTTTAATGGGGGAGGGGTAACAGGCAGGTAAGGGGCGTGCAGACATGGTAGGAAAGGCGGGGGAAGAGAAGAGAGCGAACTCGCGGAGGCCTTTGCTTTTAACGGGGAATGCAAAGGCTTCTGGGAAATGTATTCCGCGCTTGCGTGCGCTGGCGCTGGAGTCCAGAGGAGTGCTGGGAGTTGTGGTCTTGCAAGAGAACAACATTTCACCCTTTTGGTTTGATTAAAAAAATTGGGGGACCTTAAAGGGTAGGGAATGGGGGCGTAGTCCGGTCTCTCATGGCTT